TTTGAACGCGGGTACGATGCTTGTAGTGCTCTAGACTAATCCCTGTACCGCTGAAATGAACTGGAAGACTCTGATTGAATGTAACATATTGGGTCAGGCCACAAATGAAGAAAAATGTAACCTCAGACAAAGTTCACAACCAATTTAGAAGGAAACACTACATTCTACTAGACATCTCATCCCAGGGTTCTTGTACTTTGCTAAAGGCAATGGAAGTCACTGGTTATTAACTGAAATACAGAGCAGGACACGACTAATTGATAATTATGTTTAATTTACATTGATTTTGATAATGTGAAGTATCTTCTGAAAGGGCTCTTTGTGTCAAGATACATACAATAAACGGAAAACTGAAAAACTTCTGTCATTATCTCCTTTTTTGGATCACACTTGAAGGCTATTTACAACTAAACCCCCCTCTAATTCTCCTTTAAAAAATATATTCTGTCTTTCATAAGAGATATCTCCATATTCAACCTTTTCTCTGCATTTACTTGGAAATTTTCATTAAAATATCTTTGAACACTTCACAGACATAATGGATTACATCTTGTGAACATCTCCATGAGGTGACTGAGCTGTGCTATTACATTTTACAAACGGGAAACTGAGGTATAGGGAGACCAAGTGAATTCTAAATTTCCTAAGGGAACATACATAAATTATGAAGGGCAGCACACATCTTGTTTAAAGATTTCTTAACCAGAGAGTCATATTTCCTCACTGGACAGAGAGGAGGGAAGGAAGGCAGACTGTCTCATTCTGAATTGTGAGAAAAAATGGATTTACTGGTTTTTGTCTTCTTGTCTGCAGCAGAAGTGGGCTAATTAGTCCTTGACTTAACGCCGTGCACTTTGAAAGCTGATATGACATTGCCCTTTGTATCCAAGGGGGAGCTCTCAAGGCAAGAGGCCATGTGCTCAGTGCTCTGCTGTGCTTCCCGTTTCACAGTGGGTACAAGCGGGTTCAGGGCCGCCTGCTCGGCATGCGGAAAGGCAGAGCTGTACCTTGCTTTCTGGGAGAGGTAAAATGCTCACGGGAACCTCAAGGCGTCAATCACCAGTGTTACAGGCTATCTAAGAGAGGCAACATGTAATATCATGAGGAATGTGTGAACTGCTGCAAACAATGCTATTTCTGCTACAAAACATTGCATTTGCCATTTTTTACCTACTGTGTTATGTTACCTGAACATTTCAAATTACTTCAGGCAAATTAACTTCTTAACATGACTTTGTTGCTTTTTTTACTCCTACTTGCAACTAAGACAAAGAAAAATGCCAGTACAGCAAATAATTTAATAAGATCAACCTCAGTATAAGTTTAACCTTCAATATCACATCAGAATGAAAGTTATGTACCGTGAAAGCTAAACAGATCAATAAT